TCAATTGGAAATCAGTTGGAATTAGAGGAAGATCCACCAATTGTTGAAAAATCACACAGAAGAATAAGGTGTGATCTAAGTCCAGTTCCAACAAGTACAAGTACTAATTTAAATATAAAGCTTTTAAGTATTAAGGTAATAAATTATTTCTAAATTTATATATATATATTTTTTTATATCTTGTTAATTTTTATTATATATATAATATATAAATATTATATATATATATTATTTTTGTACATATTCATTTATTATTAAATTCAGGATTATATTACAGGGAGATAGAAATACCCGTCAAGACCAAGTGGACACTGGATCTGGTGGGTACAGAGAACGAAAAAAAGAAGTTAAAAAGCGAGCAGCTATAGGCAATACAGTGCGTGGATTCCTCTCATCTGGCCACAGTAGGCAGGACAGGTATAATGATGTCTGTATCAAAAATCATGCTTCTTACATTGTCATTTTTTATCTTCTGTCATTTAATTTCTTTGCTATAACTCACTTTTTAATTTGATTATATTATCTAATATATATTTAATTTGGAATGCAATTTAATGAGTATTTTTAATATTATACTATTTTATAGATTATTTTATTTATTAAAAATTAAATATTTGATTTCTAAAAATATTCTTTTAAAATATATAAGTCTAAACATATGAATAGAATTTATTTAATGTTAAATTTAAATTTTTAAATTATTGATTATGACAAAAATATATAATAATATTTTATAATAAAATTGCACATATGCACAAAGTCTTTTTATTTATCTCATCGGTGCTATATATGTACATAATTTTATTAAAATTATTAAAAATTCTTAATAAAAAAATATCTATGAATATAGATATTAAAAAAATAATATTCATTAATATTCATTAATATTTAATCAATATTCAAATAATATTATTATTAATTATAAGTATTACACCATTCATAATATTATTTATTAATATTTAGATTTTGTTAATAAAGTATAAATATTAATTATATTATTTAACATCTTAAAAATTAGCTAGAATGTTGAAGTACTATAAAATCTAATAAAGAAATTTTTATTAAATAAAATTAAAAGATTTCATTAAAAAGAAATATATGAAAGTATAAATTCCAATATATTTTCAGAATTACTGACCCTGAACTTCAAGTATGAAATTTTGTAGGTATTCAAAGGTTAGTAATATGATTTACATTATTGTTATATTGCAATATAAAACTATTGCATTAGCATTTAATATCATTCAATCATTAAATAAAACATTGGTAAAATAATATCTTATTAACAGTTATTAATTTAGCTTTTTATTTTATGAAAGTATTATCAATATCATAAATTTTATTTATTTATAATATATTTTTCAAATATTTTTCATATTTTCATCTCATTTCAAGATTAAATAGTACTTCAAAATATCATATATAACACTTTGATATTATTTAACAATTTCATATCAAGCATGTACATTTAGTACAGATGAAGCTAAATATTAATTTCTTGATTTATTATTCTTCATAGTTATATAATAAAAAATATTTGATTGCAAAATGTATGTGCATGTGTGTAATTTTTTCATATTATTGTTTAATCATGTTTATATATAATAGCATATTATTATATATAATTTATAAATTTTGCTATTGTTTTATATTATAACATATATATTTTATATTTTATATTATATATTATATATTATAAAATAAATGTTTTCTGTATTTAAATTAATATGATTATATGATTTAAATATAAAATATTTTTTTAATCAAAAAAATATTTAAAAAAAAAAACTTTAATTAAAAGAAAATTACAATTTCTAAAAAAAATATGATGTAGTATTTTCAATCACATTTTAGGTATGAGACAAATAGACAACAATCCTCAGGCGGAAGTGGCCTGTCAAGTTTATGTCCAAAATTGGTGG